AGTGGCCTATTATTGAAAAGTGGTAGTAGATATGAACTTGCTTTTAACGGTGTTAGTCTCTTGGTTAATAGTATTCTTTAAATCATCTACCGATGACGTCATGCAATCTTCGAGCGCCCTCTAGCGACAGGTTGAAAATTTTCAAAAATGTATTTTGAATAGATGTCTGTGGCGAAGTTTGTCGGAATCGCCTAAATATTGGTGTATATGATGACCTTGACCCACTTAAGACGTGTGCGAAGTTAAAGGTGTATGACGTCATCAGACCGGAAGTTATAATGAAAAGACTCTTTTTCCTTAGAAAATTCCTGAAAAATCAACCATGGCAGTTTTTATATTAGTTGGCTTTTCCGCAAAGTTGCGGAAAAGCCTTTGTTTCTCTACGAATTTTCTTTCTTTCTTTTTTTTTTTTTTTTCCTCTTGGGCCTTCCAACCAAAATGCCATAGACTTTGTGCACGTTTTTTCTAGCAAACACTTTTGGCATAAAACAAAGTCATATGACATCAAAACTTAACATGGTCACAGAACATATAGCAAAGGTCGTTCGCGAAGATAGACGCAATGATGACGTCATCATGGGTCATGTGACGTCACCTTACAGGTGCATACTTAAGGGCCCTATATCGCAAGAATGGTAAGTCCCATTTGGTTCATACTTGGCATGTAGGTAGACCGGGATGTGTTATAGGTCAAAATTGAGGTGACGTCAAGATGATGTCATCGTGTGATTTTATAATAATTTTTGAAGTTTTGGACCTTCAAGCCATATCTTATCAACGGAACATGGTAAATTCAAAATTCTTTTTGCAATGGGTTTGTTAGGTAATGCATACTTGGACCAAAAAAGTGAAAAGTGCATGACGTCATGATGACGTTATCAAAAATGCGATTCTTTATTTCACATATAACAGTAAATCTGATCGTCTTGAAACTTGGTGGGTAGGTAGATACTGTTACTAGTATGCAAAATCTGAAGTGACGTCATGATGACGTCATCAACTGATTTGTTATTAATTTTTAATTCTTTTACTGTTTCTTCTACTTGAAAAATTTTACATGAAATGGGATCATATTAACTTTAAACTAGGCGTATTACAAGGCCCTTAGGTAAAGTTGGTCCTGTGAAGTGTGAAGCCGATGACGTCATCAGACCGGAAGTTACAACGAAAAGACCTTTTATTCTTCAAAAATCGCTAAAAAATCAATCCTGAGAGATATAATCTTGAATTGTCCGCTAAATGATAGAATAAACATTGGTGTTTATTGTACTAGGCGCTTGGGTTATCTATTTGTTCACCCACATGACCCGCTGACGACAAAAAAAACCTAATGGTAGTCCGTCGCTCTATTCAATGAAAGCGTGAACAGTGTGCAGGGTGCGTGTACGCACATGTATGTACATGCATTCACTGAAAGGGCCACGTGGCAGTGCAAAACCAGTGGGCGCGTAGTCTTGGGCCCAAGTCGCTAAAAAGCATGGAATTAAAAATTAATGAGCGGAAAAGCCCTGTGTTCTGTTTGCAAACAGACACACAGCTCTAGTTTTTACTTTAATTGTCTATTTAAGGGTAGGTCTAAAATATTGCAAAGCTTCGAGGCAAAAAGCTAACTCGTACATGCCCTGCGCATGCAAAATTTCGTAAAATGTGTGACGTCATCATGACGTCACCAAAACGTGATTTTTTGATTCACATATAAGGGTATGTCCAATCGTTATGAAACTTGGTGGGTAGGTAGGTATAGATAAAAGCATTCAAAATCTGAAGTGACGTCATCATGACGTCATCATCTGATTTTTTATGAATTTTTCAAATTTTAATATTTTCTTCAAATTTTCGACCGATCGACCTCAGAGAACCTGATGTCCGTTTGGGTTCAATGTCGGTATGCAGATATTCCAAGAAGTGTAATAGACAAAATTTGCAGTGACGTCACGATGACGTTATCATGTGTTTTTATATGAATTATTCAATTTTTGGACCTTTTATTCATATTTCATCAATGGAACGTGGTAAATTCGAAATTCTTTTTTGCAAAAGGTTTGTTAGGTCGTTGATAGATACAGAAAATTTCAAAAATGTGTGCCGACGTCATCATGACGTCATGAAAAAATGGTGGTTTTTTTACATAGGATAGACACTTTTTGTATAGAAAACGCATGTACATGTTCATTCGACCTGGATGAAACTCCTTTACGGCAGTCATTAACCCTAACTCCCAAGGCCTTTTTGCTAGGATGTAGCCTCAATCCTGCAATATCCTCCAATTGGCCCCATGGAAAAATAGCATATAGCCTCAATCCTGCAAATTCCTCTGTTATTTCTTGCATATGGTCCATGGAGGGGTGACCACTGCCTGAATCCTGCAAAATCTTCTGGCTATGACTGTCAATAAGCTGAGGCAGAGGCCGTGACATCCTGGAGCAGTACGGAGGTTGTCAAGTATAATCAAGGACTAAATTTATGCACGGATGAGCATAAACAACACAAGGTCCGGCCCAAGACCTTGACACAGTGCGTACTCCGAAATCAGCAACGCACTTTTGCCATGTAACCTCAATCCTGCAAATTCCTCCAATTTGCATATTGCCTTTGGTACCCAGTCAATCAAAGTCCAACACCAGCTGGCCAGTGTTCGGTACCAACCCTGCCAAAATCAAGCAAAACCCGCTGTTGGAGCTTGATGGGCTCAGGGTTGTTAGGGTTAATAAACAAATCATTCATTGCTAGATTTCCCACCATAACACAAATAAGACTTGTCATACATGTACCAACTTTAAACTTGGTGTTTTGGTTAGTCTGGGGATCTTCCAGAAACAGTCATTTTTTTTTAACCCTTAACGCCAAAGGTCACGTTTATTGTGATTAAAACAACAGGAAAAGTTTTCTCAACATACACATGTTCATGTATTACTAAATCAACGTGAGACTTATACCATAGTACATGTGTACATGTATGTGCAGCTCTGTGGGTTGTTATTAGGATTTCAAGTCACTTTCGAAACCCATAGGCCAAGTGTTCTCATTATTAAAAACAAAAGAAGTGATGCCATGATGATAACTCAAGCTTATTCAAATAACCATATTTTCTTTTGATTATTTAAAAATGCTTATTTCCATGTTGGCATTATGCTCAAACCATGCTTAAAAAGGATTCACCTTTATGTAAATCATGCAAAAACCAGCTAGTCTGGTTTCCTGCCGTGGTGCTGCTCAATCTTGTGCCCATTTCATCTAGCATAGAAGCACTTGCAGTACACTGATATCGCTTGGCCGGTTTTCATATCTGACACCACGTGGTACGGACCGTTTTGGTGAATTTCCCTTTGCATTTATTTGTGGCGTGCACAACTTGAATTCTTATTTTGAGACATATTTTCCCAGAATTTTTGTCATTTTCGGGGGCCAGTTTTGAACATCTATGAAAATGGTTCAAGATAAAAAATGAACTTTTGTAACCAAAATTTTAGCAACTGGGGTTATCTCATTTCAAATAACTTGTTATCAACAACCAAAAACTCCGGAAACAATTCCTGTAACATTTATTGGTGTGAACACAAATGATTTTTTTTTTGAAGTGCTTAATGCATTAAATTTATGCCAGTTGTGTGTTTACTTATCAAGAATATAACAGGGGAATATTCGAACATGCAAAAGCTATTCTAATATTTAGTTGATGATCAAAATTTGGTATACATTTTGTATTTGGGACGTCCCTTACTAGGAGGGTTAATCCTCTATATATAAGGAAGCTCTGAGGCAGGGAGGCTCTCGTTGTCATACATGTAGCTGCAAGTAATTTGAAATTTGCCTATTTTAAATTAACATTCTTTTGCCTGCATAGTAGACCTAGGCCATTTATTGATATTACACTTCGCTTACACATGCTATTTTATGGAAGCCAGGTTTGGGCAATGTCCCCTTGTCTCCACTTGCTGCTTTTCAGAAAGCACACATGTAAACTAAGATTACCTCATTTTACTATACCTCGTACATATTCATGATCGAGAGCCGAGCTCTCACTGGTCAATTCACCATCACGTGCCAGGTGTTATTTTTGCTGTTCACCAAGCCGTAAATATGCATGCGTAGTAGACTGTCGCACGGGTTACCCATGCGACAGTCTACTACGCATGCGCTTTACAAAGCAATCGTGGAACTGTTGCACGGGTGTAGTACGCACGCGTGAACATTGCCCAAACGAGCTACACACGAAGAGATGGTTGCACGGCGTGTTATTTTCCCGAGCTCAATGATGCCGAACTAGAGAATATTTATGGACAATAAAGATGCCTCCTGTACAAAAAGAATGTTGTACACAAACTACTGTATTTACAGCTGCGCTGTATTGTAAACGAACAGAACTAGTGAAGTTGAGCAATACGATTCTTTAGGTGAACTGGACAAGTTTTTCAAAAAAATTGTTTGAGGTGCATATTGCAACGAAAAATAAAATAAAAAATTGGCGGTGAATATGTACATGTATGAGGTATAGTAAAACAATATAACATGGTTTATTTCGGGTGGACAGCCGATATTAGCTCCCCTCGGGAACTAGTTTGTCAGTACCTCGGGGAGCGAATATGGACTGTCCCCCCTCAAACCATGTTATATTTGTATACTGTCTATTCTTTATTTGGGTATTCACCCACTCAAAAATGAATCAGTTGATGTCACAGCTACATGTATGCTACGTGTACATGTATAAAGCGCAAAGGTTGTGCACGTGTGTGTTTGTTTACAAGTTGATTGTTCACAAGTTAAGTTGATCCCCCTCGAAGCTGTTGGGTTACAAGTTAACTTGTCTCAAATGGTGACAGTGGCGAAGTGGGCGACAAGCAGCAAAGCCTTGTATACCTGTACACATAATCAATAATCTATCATGTTCATTTTGTGTTACCATTGCAATTTGAAATAGGTCTTTCATATTCACTCTGTGTTCTCTGTGTTGGTGGTTTGAATCCACAGAGAAGCATTAATATCACTTTTTCCTGCCACAGACCTTTCAATACCTCACTATGGATACGGACTTGTACGATGAGTTTGGCAATTACATTGGGCCTGAGCTGGACAGTGATTCAGAAGATGTGGAGTCAGAGGAGGAAAGACCTGAGCTACGATTGGAAGTTGTAAGTGCCTTGGGAATATGCGAGGTGTACTATAGTAGTATACTGGTACTTTTAAGTTGTAGTTCTGTAAGGCCTTGATAAATATTCATAATTGCTCAAAATATGAAGAGGAGTGAATATTGCATTTTGAAGTGATTTCCAACATTATAATGTACCACACACACCATTCTTGTTATTGTAATTGTTATAATTCAGCTATGATTTTGCTTTCAAATGTACATCCTGGACAGCCACCAGGAAGAGTGATATACACACTTGGCTGTTCTGATTCACAGTTACAAATACCGGTAGTAACTGTACATCTCATTAGCAACTGTAGATTGAGAGCAAAGCTTTGGCACGAATAGAAACAGAGAACTTGGCACTAATGTTTAATGATCTTCCTACGATTGGAAGTTGTAAGTGCCTTGGGAATATGCGAGGTGTACTATAGTAGTATACTGGTACTTTTAAGTTGTAGTTCTGTAAGGCCTTGATAAATATTCATAATTGCTCAAAATATGAAGAGGAGTGAATATTGCATTTTGAAGTGATTTCCAACATTATAATGTACCACACACACCATTCTTGTTATTGTAATTGTTATAATTCAGCTATGATTTTGCTTTCAAATGTACATCCTGGACAGCCACAAGGAAGAGTGATATACACACTTGGCTGTTCTGATTCACAGTTACAAATACCGGTAGTAACTGTACATCTCATTAGCAACTGTGGATTGAGAGCAAAGCTTTGGCACGAATAGAAACAGAGAACTTGGCACTAATGTTTAATGATCTTCCTGATAGGACGAGGATGATGATGAAGAGCCCATGGAGGCAGGTGACATATCCCAGGCTGTGGTGCTTCATGAAGACAAGAAGTACTACCCAACAGCTGAGGAGGTCTATGGACCTGATGTTGAGACCATCATACATGAAGAGGATACTCAGCCTCTCACAGGTGAGGCAGGCTGAAAAGCAAAGCAGGATTTTCTTTTGAGAGCAGTTTCTCCTGTTATACCATGGTATTAAATTACGTGTTCTGTTTCCGTAATGTCGCCCGAAAACTTCTGGCAAAATATAGGCCCTAATTTACAATAATGGATAGACGGATGGCAAGTCTAATAAGTAATGCGGTCAAGAACCTGATAGACATCAATGCAGTGTGCGCAGTGGAGTACTTGAGGACCAGACTAAAAGTAATTTTCAATGCGTTTGTACCTCGTGTTTGTATATCGCGTGTGGATGTGTGTGTAGCTACGCTGGGCAGCGGCGGGCGGGGCCGCCCAGCTCTCAAAATCTCCGCCCGGCACTCGGAGTAATTTTGAGCCTGACCGCCTGGCACATATTTCAGTCCCTGAGTTGGTAGAATTTCTGAAACATCTAAAAAATTCTAATGTATGTCCATATCTTTAGCAATCATATGATATTTTCTGTGTTTAATTCCTTGTTTTAAACCGCAAAAACACCGAAGTGAGCTTACAATTACGCACCAAGCCGGGCCTTGAAATGAACGATGGTGGCCATATGACCCCATATCCCATGTACGGCCAGCTAGCTTTGCATTCAGTCTTCTCTCTGTACTAGTTTACAAGTAATGTATACGTACGTACGCACACACACGCACGATGCATGTGGTGTACATGTACGTACAGCATGCAACGCCGCACCAAAGGCTCAGCTCGGGAGTGCGCCGATACTTCAAGCAGTGACACCCCCGCTGCACAAACAAATGTCTATATTCGTACAGTCACATTCCAGCAGGAGTAGGTAGGCAGATTTTACGCGTATCAACTGACTTTCTCTTTCTCAGAATTTGTATGTGCCGTACGCAATTGCCATTGAAGTCTGTGTACGAGGCAAACGATGACAGTCATACATACTCTGCTCACGCGTGCTCTCATATTTTGGCGCTGATTGTCCAAAAGTTTTTGGCCGTTTCCCAACACTCAACTTGGCCTCCGTCTCAGGCTTCGTCTCCAATATTAATCCCTGATTGTATGCCTGAAGCGTTCACAGTTAATGGAAGTACTGTAATATTTGCTCTTTCACATCAGCATCTTATTAAATGTTTCTTTGGTACAAAGTTAAGCTTGTCTAAGGTAAGGGTACACAAATGTGCTTACAAAACCATCTTTTGATTTTTTCTTAATTATGTTCATCAAGCTAAATACTGATTTAAAATAATGAACAGATGACCTTTTATAAGATGATTGTGTAAGATTGTTATTTGTTCTGCCAGTTTCTATATACGGACACAAATATTTCATGAGACAAATGTTGTTTCATCCTGTGTTCATCGTTATTTAATGATAATTCCACATTTTACAAACATGAATTACACTTTATAACATCATGCTTCAAAAACCTGATCCCCCCCAAAAGACCCCACAATCCTGGAGCTGGGGGGGGGGGGGGGAGGGGGGGATCCCCCTCGACCCCCGCTGAGGCGTTGCCCCTTGACCCCTGGCTGTGACCCGTGAGAGCTCCTCCCGCTACGCTTCGCCAAAATATTACCCGGCACTAAATTTGGCCTGGTGACAATATGCATGTACTTTGCAGTGACGATCGTGAGCTAGCAATTCGTCAACACATTCGTGTCAATATTTCCGCGATGAGACCCATCAGCAGTGCGCTCTTAAAGTTTTTAAGTTATGATTTTTTTTAAAGATAGCATGACCAGGATATGATATGATGTTTTGAGCACCCTCGGGGTGCATAGCACCCCTCTGGTTTTCAAAACATCATATCTCACATCACAGCAGTCAATAATTGAACAATGTTTCTGGGGCCAACATCTTAGCTATTACAAAGAGAGTGGACATTCTATACAGCATACAAATACACCAGATTTTGATAACACTAAATGTAGGCACTTAAAATCCTGCCACATCATGGAAGTTTTTTTGGTGCTAGGGGGACTAGAAGAAAATCTAGCAAATTCATGTGTATCTCGCAGGATTGTGTAAAATCATTGATTTTGACAAATAATTGTGAGATTTATTGAACAGGCTTCAATCAAACACCTGGAACAGTCAGGACGACTGGTTTATAAGGCCGATGGCTTGCAGCCCAGCGCCGACCATGTACATCACATTTTGCATCTTTTTGCTGAGGTAGACCGCATGCACAGTAAACAGCCGTCAACAACTCCAAACGATCCTTGGCGCAAAAAGGATTGGCTCATCGCCAAATGAGGAGCGTGAGAACCTCATTTTCCAACCCTGCTAAATGCCACAGAATGCACCAGTTGTAAAATGTTGTTGCAAGTTGTTGCATTTAGCAGTGTCCTGATCTGCATGCATTCCATGCCTGGATTCCGTTGCATTTGGCAGGGTACATGTAGGTACTTGGTATCCAGGCTGGCACTGCATTCTGTTGAATTTGGAAGGGTGCCTAGAGAATACCCCGTGGGGGTTAGGGTTAATAGCACCAGACAGACAGGTATATCGTTGTGACGACAAATTCCCATCACCAATGAGAAGAGCTGATTAAAGCATCTGACCAAAACTGGTTCAGCTGACATGGCTGATAGGTCATTATTGGTAAACTGTCTGTGCATAGCTATTCTCTGTATGCACAGACTGGTTACCGCATTTTCTTCATGTCTTTTAAATTGGCCGTTGGAACCAGTCGTCGCCGCATTGAGCTACAGTGCAATGTAGCATTACGCACGTGTCGAAGTAGTTATCGCGACGATGCGAATTTGTAAAAACAACAAAGGTTTCTTTTGAAAAAAGTAGTGAATGTAAGTAAGAAAACAAATAAATACAAGCATTTTGACGCGAAAAGGGGTGTTGAGAGGTATTTTGTGTAGACAGAAAAGTCAACAAGTTTTTTTATTTATTAATTCAAAATTTCAATCATTAATTGTTTTTTTTTTAATTGCCAATACATTTTTTTAGGGTCGGGGCTTAAAAATAGGGTCAGTCAGGTAACCGGAAGCAGAAGTATTTTTGTTTTGGGCCTAATTGAATACCCCATTCAATCAGCAAAAAAAACCCAGTGGCCAATAAAATAGAAAAATCTGACCTACCGACCCTATTTTTGAAAGGCATGGGAAGCAGAAGTGGTTTTTTTTTTGCCTTGGGTCCTTTCCCAAAAAAAGTGACAGATCAAATTCAGTGTACTATAGTGCAAAATGGCCATACAGTTGTATAGAAATAGATTTGGCTTATATTCTATAATTTGGAATTACCTTCCTAGAAACAGGAACTGATAAAATATAAAAACAAAACACTTTCAGCAGCAAGAGGAGGGGTTAAATGTTAAAATCTATTGATTATTTTTTACCAGATTTTTTCCTCATTCGAACTTGTTTGACGATAAAAATGTGCGTTTATACTATGCTGTAACATCCGTAATATATACAATACCTCAGAAAGTATTATTTATAGGGCTGAAGAATTCTGATGAGGAGTTGTAGTTGACACTGTTTTAGTTTAGTTAAAAGTAAGGTTATTTCAAAATAATTAAGCAGTGCCATGCATCACATACAGTGTCTTTAAACATTTCATTATTATCAATTTAATATTGTAGAAAGATCAGAAAGTTCACAGTAAATTTGGAATTTAGTATCGTATTTAAGTAATTTTAACATTTAAAACTGAGTAAAATAGATTAACATATTTTTTCTTGTCTACATAATATAGATGAAAGATAAAATATTGATATAATTAAAAATGCTTTAAAAATGACATTTTTGTGTCAAAAAAAAAATAAGCGGAAAAGCCCTATGTTCTGTTTTCAAACAGACATACAATGTAGAAGTTTTTTCCGGACATTACATTTGTTTCGGATGTTACAATAATGTAATTAGATACTGCATAATTTATGCTGTGATGGTAAGCTGCCTTGAGTGTCTTCCAAAATATAATAATAACCAGAGGTCAAGGTGTTTGTTGAGTTACAAACACAGAGTGGTTAGGCTGACAACTATTTCATTAGACAAAACCCAGTTAAGTTATGAATAATTTTATGTCAGAACAAAGTATCACGAAAAATTAACCTTTCCAGTACAACCAATGATTTTGTTGAAAACAAAAATGTAGCAAATTTTACTATACGTTTTATGTACACGCACAAGTTATTTCTGGTCTGATGATGTCATCAGTCCAAATAGGGAAATTGAATACTGATTTAGTTCGGAGAGGACACATGTTCATTATGAAGTTAAAATAACGTATGGAAATATGGAAAACCTAACTTCGGTTTAGTTGCTACGCGACCGACAACATGATGATGATGATAGCACGGTTAACCATATTCAAAAGTGTCTACTTATGAAAGTAAAAAATGTGATTCTGTTGGACTTGGCAGGATTGTAACCCAATTGCAAATGTTACCTCCTTTGCAAAGGAGAGTTATTGTTTACTTTGTTGATTAATATATATATACATATATATATTTTATCTTAATCAGATCCTATTATTGCACCTGTGAAGCAAAAGAAGTTTAAAATGACTGAACAGGAGCTACCTGTGACAACTTATGACATGGAGTGAGTGAATATGGCTTGACTTTTCTTTTCTTTCTCAATCATGGTAAATTATTTTGATGTTTTAAGAAGATTGGTATGCGCGTGTGTCTGAATGCCAACTGTACTGTATGCTATTACCAGTGGTCAGTTTCACCCTTTTATTTATTGGCTTTTCATTAACTCATTAATTATAGCTTGTTCAAATGTTCTGTGGTGTATCTTCAGATTTCTTGCTGATATGATGGACAATGCGGAACTGATTAGAAACGTCACATTTGCTGGACATCTACATAATGGAAAGGTACATGTAGCTATCATATTACATATGATATTTTGTGTTGTGAACCTAACTCATGAAACCACAAACATCATGACCATCGGCATTTTCATTTGGAAAAGGGTTTTAAGCATGTTTATTTTTGTTATCAAAGAGTTGATATTTTCAATGTTTGGGAATGTAAATTCATAAAGTTTTTCCATGTCATTGTAGGAAGTAGTTCATTTAATCAAAATCACAATGATTTATATAAACCTTTTCTTGTCTCAAGTTTGTCTAGTGAATATCTTGTTATTTCAAAACTAAAAGTAGAATTGAAATACAACCTGTTTGTTTGATACCCCCTTTCTAATTAGGTAATGTCATAGTGTATTTTCAGAGACCAGGTCACATTTTCTTTTATTATTATATCCATCAGTTGAATGTCTCTATCCTGATTTTCAAATCTTGAGGTTTATTGTTGAGGTCATAGTGCCTTTAGAGGCCGAGGATGAATGAGCATTTGTCTTTACAAGTTGGCTTTGCAGTATTTCTAATGTTTATTTTGATGTTGCAGACAACATTTGTGGATTGCTTGATGGAACAGACTCACCCAGACCTCAGAGTCAAGAAGGATGGTGGTGTAAGTCCATATCTTTTCTGTTGTCTTCATTGATGAAATATGCATTGCTTCTGCTACTGAATGTATACAGAACCATTAGTGTTCATTGTGTGCAGATTTACATGTTTGTACCTGGGAAGGACATGTGCAGTACATGTACATTGTCAAAAAAAATGGAATTTACGAAAGAAAATCGCATTTGCATTCATATTTTGCATTTTGCAGGTAATTTTTCGCAAAATCATTCCCCTGTGAATTCACTGCTGAAAGTTGCCAAATCAATGCGAAATTAGTGGTGAAATCCATACAAAATGAGTGTGAAATTGATGTGAAATTGGTGTGAAATCATTGTGAAATTGGTTTGGAAATGGTGTGAAAATAAAGTCACACTCGAGGTACGCTAGAATGAATGGTAAATGTTAAACATAAATATGATGCTTTTGATGTCACAGTTTGGTTCAAAGGCCATAAGAATAAAGTGAAATAAGACTTAAAGAATGCATACGAAAAAATATACAGTTGGGTGGGAAGAAGGGGGTATTGTGCACCTTCGGAAATCAACTTCTAAGGCCAAACAAAAAAATGGTGTGTTTACAGTAACCCGACCGACCTGGAATTTTTTCGGCCAAATTGCCGACCTCAAAACTTTTTATTGCCATTTTGAAGGTTGATAATTGACAAATTTCAAACATTTCAAGTACTTTTAATTATTTGCCACGAATAAAAACCATTTTCCACACTTGAATCTGTCCATGATTTGACACAAACATACCTGTGTTAAACGTGCGAAAATCCCAACGATCTCAAAACTTGAATTCTCAAACTACGAAATACGATTATTTTTGCACAAACGCATCGGGGTACGCCTGGCTGGCCGACGGACGGCATGGTTCTCCCCACGTACAAACGTGCGTATCGGCCCGATACGCTGGAATTGCGGCCGGCCCGATACGCCGACAAAAAAATGCCAATCACATTTTTGAGCCCCTGATACGCACAATATAATTATCACACACGCCATTAAAATGCATAATTTGATCGTTACATACGCCATTATTTCATCTTGACATACAAAACTTGACCAAAATCCTGTTTTTCCAATGCATGTGTGATCAAAATGCACAAGATGAAATGTTCTGTCGACCACCAGCAGCACCCAGCTAACATACAGCATGGTACACTGGTTCCCTGCACCAGCTAACGGAATCAATGCTTTGATGAAGGACCGGAACCAGTGACTACTGCCTCTCTCCGGTCCATACTTCGTATCATACAGCATGATGATGTAGTGGGCCGAAGTTGGATTGTAAAAATATTACCAAACAAACATCGCTGGAGAAAGAGAATTTCTGCGAATTAATTCACAGAATGTGATCTTTACTTTCTGTGTATGCGTCTTCCATTAAATTGACGAGATTGCAAAGCTTGAACTTGTGGCGAAACATCGTAGCGTGTTTCTGCAGTAGTGCAAGATTTTCGGCCACGTGGGCCGTGAGCACGGCGCGATGTTCGGCCAGCCAGGCGGAATGTTGGCGGTGCCAGCGGCCGTGATGTATGTTAAGCATAAAGTGGAATCACCAACCTCAAATATATTTTTAATTAGGTGAGGCAAGTTTTAATCACTTTTGATAGCCAGTCTTGATAATTTTCGTGGCGCAAATGAAAATAATCCAGGCACAAAATAAACATGATTCCTTGCTCTATGATTAGTACGAATGATGCTCCATTAATCAGCACCCCCAAAAAATTGGCGAAATAATTTTCCGACCTACTGACGCTATTTTGAAAGGCATGTAATCGGAAGCAAAAATTTGTTTTTTTTCTCCACCTTAATTTCTTAATTTGAAACTTACATGTAAATGTAATTCATACTGTTCTAGTTGGGAAGCAATGAAACACAGGTTGTGAAATGTTAATTTTTTTTAAGTTAACAATTTTGATTTTTTTTCTTTAATTACAAAAATATTAGTGACCTACAAGATCTCCTCTGAATTTCAAGGACAAATCTTAAGATAAAGACCCCCAGATTTGCTCTAAAATGCACCAGAGAGCTTCTAAAGTTCAAACATTTTTGGGTTGTTGAATCACAGCAAATCTTCCCCCACATGTTTGAAAAAATCCTGGGGAGAACCCTGGCCGACGATACGAATTAATTTGGATTGAAATGTATCGATTGAATATCTTCAATGCTTGAATAGTGGTTTTATACAATTTTTTTTGCAAAAGAACACGCATGGGCATGCAGGACTGAAATGAAAAAAAAAATTACAAAATAAAATTATCTCCCTACCTACCTACCTGGATTTTTTTCAGGCCGTTACCGTAAACACACCATTTTTTTTGTTTTGCCTAATCAACATCTCTGGGTCAGAAAAAATGCTTAGAAAATGATTGGCTACGTTTAAAATTTTAAAAAACGTCCCGCATATTGTTTTTATGCAAATTAGTGCTGCCATTACTCAGGCATGCAACTTTTCCTCGGATCAGCTGATTTCCTCTTTTTTGACTTTCCATGTGTGCCTTTGATAATAGAAAAACACTGTACAAAGTCATGGAAAGATTTGAATTTCCTCTTTTTTTGTAAGTTCCCAGTTGCATGCCTGATTACTGGAAAATCATGTTTTTGGCATATCTCGGTCAATATTGCTCGTAACTACACAAGTAAGGTGTCAAAACCATGTTTTGAGTGTCAAGTATCATTCTTAGACCATTCCTGAAGTAACTGTGTGTCATGTGTGTCCTCGGCATGTTAGTATGTAAATTCTAAAGTGACGGTTTATCAGAAATATGCTTTTTAGCCAATATTGCAGCCAGTATTGCCGATAATGTCCACAGAGGGGTTTTTGTGAGGGTGATACTTTTGCAATTTTATCTTCAATTTCCCATTATTTTTCCCATTCCAGATAAGCAGGAGTGATAAAAGTTTATTTTAAGCCATTATGCACATATAATGGCTTAAAATCAACTTTTATCACCACTGCTTATCTGGAATGGGAAAAAGAATGGGAAATGAAAGATAACCTTGCAAAAGTATTGCCCCCCAAAACCCCTCTGTCAATATTAGCCGCAATACTGGATGAAATATTGGCTAAAACTCAAATGTCAAATAAATCGGCACTTTACAATTTAAATTTTTTACATGCCAAGGGCACAGGTAGCATACATAGTTACTTCAGGAATGGTCTTAAAATATTTGATCCTCAAAACTAGGTTTAGACACCTTACTTGTGTAGTAATGCGCTTATGCGCAATATTGGCCGAGATATGTCACAAACATGGTTTTCCGGTAATGGCAGTGTAGTATGAACATCAGACTCCATGAAATGTGGACTAATTGGTAGTATTGCGCATGCGTAAGTACGAGAATATGCTATTTTTAGGATCACATATGGGAGAGTGACCTGTCACATGTGAGAGAATAACCAATAATGGGGAAAAGGGGTCTGATTTTCATAGGAGTCAGATTTTCATATGACAGGGGCACTAATTTGCATATTCCTATGCCACAGACATATGTTGCCACTTCCAGAATAGATTTATTGCGATTTTTTATTCTGAAAACATGGGTTTAGATACCTTATTCATTCAGTTATCTGCAATATTGGTTGAGATACCGGTATAGTGAACAATAGATTTTTTGGTAATGGCAGCAATAATTTGCATAAAAACAATACGTGGGACAATTTTTGAATTTTTTGACATACCAAATCGTTTTCTCCGCATTTTTTTTTCTGATCTAGAGATGTCAATTAGAAATTGATTTGCTAGGGTGCACGATGACCCCTTCTTCCCACTAAACTAATGAGATTTGGTGTCCCACTGTGCAATACAATTGGTTCAAGCAAGCCAGCTACACAAAGGTGTATGAAGAAGCACGTGGTCAGCCAAACAGTCTTTAACCCTAAAAGGGCTGGGGGGGGGGGGACTTTTCTCGTGATACCCTTGCCAATTTCCCCCCCCCCCAAACCAAGCTTTCCTTATTAGCCTTGAGTCTTGCACACCTTTTGATACAAAAACATAAACTAAGAATTTCCCTATGTAGTGTACACAAAGATATGAATAGTTAATTAGCGGATAAGTCCAAAACCCTTTATCCTATTGCCATGAAATTTCTTGGGTACATGTATGTTTATGTTAAGTTGTTCTATGCATGCACCAAGTTTCATAATAGCCAAGCTCTGAAGGGGGGGGGGCGCAGACTCCCCCTCCCCCCTCCAAAATTGCATGCAAAGTGTGTGAATTGTCCGTACCACATACCAAATTTTAGTGTCGCACTCTTTCACTGCATGTACATTTTTTTGTATTCCATGCAATTGTTGGGTTTTATCGTGGTTTAATATTAAAAATGTGCTGGACATAAATGTACATGTAGTTATTTTTTGCAAAATAAAGAATTATTTTACAGCTGCTAAAAACAATAATCATACATTTTTGTCACTTTTTGGTGGTTTACTCTGAACAAATGGGAGTTTAGTACAATTATAGGCATACATTTTGTCATAAACTAATACCTTTTCGCTGTGGTTTGAATGAATCAGATTTTAATTTTGTAGAGGTTACTTAAACTGATTGAATTGCATTAATAAAAACAATGTGTGGTAAATCTGCAACTTATATTCAATCACTCTGCTGGGAAAATTGTAAGCTGTGTTTCAACAATGAAAGCACATTAATATCTTCATGATGGCAAATAGTCATTTTCCTACATTCAGAAAAAACACCAGTTGTAATAAAAGGGTAGCCAAATCATAATGGGAATAATTTTTAAGTGAATGCAATTCTCAGAAAACAAATGTCATGAAATTTCTCCTCTATATTTTCATAATCAACAATTGAATTGAATTGAAGATTTGTCAATAGTCCTAATTTTTAAACAAAAAAAATCTCCAGACACCAATATTATTAAAATCAAGGTTGTTTGCTATTAAGTCATGTTCTTTTATTTATTTATTTACATGTATTTCATACAAGATCCAACAGCACAAGTGCCACAGACGGATGGATATAGTGCTGCAACTGATCCTCAAAGTTCGGTTAGGTTCGGTTCGATTCGGTTGCGGTTTGATTTTTTATCTCCGAACTTCAGTTCAGTTTGACTTTGGTAGTGTATAATGTACATGTCCATGGTGCAATGTAATGAAAAGCATATATAGGCCGTTTCCCCTGTTCGAACAATACGTGTGTACTGCGCACATCTGACAGAAATAAGTACCGCAATTTCCACGGCCTCGAGGCCGATTTTCATGGCCTTGGCCTCGGCCTTGGCCTCGGAGGTGCAAGGCCTCGGCCTTGGCCTCGGCCTCGGAGCCTTCCGGCCTGGGCGAATCGGTCGAGGCCGGCTCGAGGCCGCCCATTTTGATGTGTTTTCTATTCTAATTAATTCTAATTTTTTACCGTATCAAACCCTCGAGATTCTGCCGCAGTGGGTTCCGTGAAACGAACGCATATACAATGTACGCACGAATGAACTGGAAATGGTTGCATTGAACGTACTCACGAACGTAGCAACTTCGCCTAGCCTGCGCTTCAGCTTTCCACGTGCGTGCAAGCGTTATAACTGTTACCGCGTGCCAGACTACATAAGTCTGGCACCAATCCCATTTGCGTACAATAACATGTGGTAGTAGACTAGTCTGGTTGCAGTGTTGTACAAAATTGTCTCGATTCGCCTCTGTACCCCGACCTTTAAAAATGATTTGCGGCAAGGTGCGGCAAGCTTAATCATTTCTTTTTATAGGCCACTGTTTCAGTAAAAGTCTGAACTTTCTGGGTACGATCGAGTGTACTAGTCCGTACCATTTTTTTCATAAAGATATGATAAAAACAGTTACGATTTATCAAGTAGATTTTATTTTTACACGGTGATTTAAATGAAAGTTCCGGCTCACACAGTAATGTTTGGCGCAAATGGTCGATATGGAAAGCGCGATTTCAGAATTCGTTTTTCCATCCAAATGAATACAAAGTTCTGAATGAATGTTTTAATAATAGGAGTCAGTATTCCTCGTGGTACCAGGATACTTTTTTGTATTTTTAGAGCCATGTTGATACTTATTACTTGTATAAGCACGGTTTGAAATTGACTAATTTTGCGTGGTTACAGATATACGGCCAAAACCTCTGGACTCCCTACCTCTTGCCATGATCTTAAAATTCTTCGAAGCCATTGGATTTAAATCGGATGATCCGAGAATTCATGGTCATTTTGATGAACTGAGTGATATCATGCACGCATGTTCCGTGTTGCCGTGTTGTTTGGAGCGGGGTTGGCCATTGCCAGACTTTGTCTGGTACCGCGGTATTAACAGTGATAATGCGTGGACACTATCCCGTTGTGTGGAGCGGGATTGGAACTATGCTTTGCCCGTGCGTAACGGCGGGCCGTCTGGCATTGTCTGGTCGCATCGCGGTGTTTGCTCGGCGCGCGCCTGGACAGTGCGAAGGTCGGGGGGGGGGGGGGGGGTTCGTAACTTTTTGGTTATGAGTGGTAAAAACCTGATTGAAAAATCAAGTTGTTGTTTATTTAATGGGGATTCCTATGATATTAAGCATTTTGATAGGTTTTGAAAATAAGATTTATAAAACATGCTAAAAGTAAATAATGTAAATCTTACAGAATAGAAACTCAAAATTTTGCCTTTTAAATTGTTGTATCTCCAAAGGGCAAACGCCTATGAGCCTGATTCAAACGCCATTGATTTTGTTGTGTAATTTGCTTTCAGTGATACAAAACTTGAGTTGTCTTTCTTTATAAAAAATAAAATTCGCCGGACTCCCTACAAGAGGAAACCCATTGCAAGCTGTAAATTTGTAAGCCAGGCACTCCAAAACTCAGTGAATTCAACTAAAAAGATGTTAAAACTCCAACATAATCTTAGCCTTGTTTTAGTGATTATATTTTATTACGTGTTTTGATAGCTGGCCTCGGCCTCGGCCTTGGCCTCGGAGGTGGTGGCCTCGGCCTTGGCCTTGGCCTCGCGGTTGTGGCCTCGGCCTCGGCCTTGGCCTTGGAGGTTGTGGCCTCGGCCTTGGCCTTGGCCTCGGAGGTTGTGGCCTCGACTACAACACTGCAAAATACCATAAGCATTTGAGTTTATGACGTTGAGAAATGAACATCGTAAATTGCTACATGTTACCGGTATATAATCGCGGCCTTTGGGCTATACATGTACCGGCCTCGGCGGCCTGGCAAACTATGATCAAAATTTCCCACGCATGCTGATTTGTTTTCCAGATGAATTCCGTCCGCGTCCAAGCATGCCCTGAGCACTAGAAACTTGCTTTGTGGCAATAATTACTGATTAGTTTTGTTCTGAGAACAAACAGGTCCATTTACTGTACTAAACTTATAAAATAATAATTATTTTTAGCAACAAGCTGACAAATAGCTACCGTAAAAAAAAAATCAACTTTTCGTTTCGCGACTGACTTTTATACTGTGGACGGATGCATCAATTTTGTAAAGGGGTGCTCCACCCTCTTTTGGGAGATTACATCGTTTTTCATATAAATTCTTTACGAATAAAAATATATTGTTGAGTAAGAACTTATTCTGAATGAGGGAAAGGTTTCTGACTCCATTAATAGTATTATTTGTAATTTTGACACGGTAAAAAAAATGAAAATGCTGGGAAATTGTGCCAAGGAAAGCGCACCCTTCACCGCAAATGGTTTGATGTAAACAAATTACGTCATGGGTGTTCCAGGGCTGGGCAGGGATATTCCGGCCGCGCTGCGCAGCCAAAGCAAGAGCACGCATTTCATTGAGAGAATTGCAGGTGTGTATGATTTTTTTCAAAGCGTATCGACCCCGATATCCTATATCATAAATAATGAAGCTGAATGCGGAGACTTTTCAACATGGTAAATTCAATCATCCGTGCGCGCTAAATTTGCCCTTTCATTACAAGCTTTAGCATGGCCTAGCGCTATCAACAAATGCTTGCCGAACTCTTCTGAACTGACTTTTGGATTCGGTTCGGTTAGGGTTCGGTTCAGAAGGCCAAATTCGGCTATTTTTAGTTCGGTTCGGCACTGGATGGATAAATAAATTAATTTGCAATAAAAATTTAAATATTAGCAAATTTGTATAAGAATCAAAACATCAGAACATTAAATCAACAAAAACCAATAAAATGCTCAAGATTGAATCAGGCTCACTCTGGGCCTGACTATCAATCCAAGACGGTAGTCCCATATTAAACATTAAACATCCCACATTTAAAATGAAGTCTTCAAAACTTAAATGCACTATAAGATGAGACAAGCTAAACTAACTCTGGGCCGACCTTTCAATCCATGATGTTAGTCCCACATCAAAAAATTACTCAATTGATGTAAGATACCATGATTGTAGTCCTGCAATTTGGGCGATTCACAATGCGGTGCGCCACCACAAGTTTGCCACAGAGAGTTCATTTTTACCAGTGCATTGTGGGAGATGGTCGACAAATTCGCAGCGCGGGACATTTAAAATTGTTCGTTTTTCCGGTTAGTAGTTTCGTAAGGTTATGATTCGAGTATCTGTTTGCTCAAGATTTTCTTTTCTTTTTATCAATATGGTGTTGTTTGTAAGGCTGCAGAACGCTATTCCCCAGTCTTTAACAAATAAACTCAAGTTGGCGACTGACACTCATTCAAATGGGCCATGTTTTGTTGACCGTAAACTTGAAAAATGGATTCTCCATGGCAAACTCTTGGTGGCGCACTGCCTAGTGAATCGCCCAAATTAAAAACAAACCATCAAAACATTAAATGCACAGTAAGATGCACATTAGATGAGATAGGCTCACTGTAGGCCTGACTTATCAATCCACGATGGTAGTCCCACAATAATTATATTATATAATTTTATATAATAATACTTTTTACTCCCACTTGGGGTCACCATGCAAATTTAGGTCAAAGTAAACATTAGTATACAACCCCAACTTATGTAAGTTGCCACGATGTAGGGTTGCCACTAAGTGGGGCAACAGGCCCAAAGACCAGAGTGAATGTTTCACTTTTGTTGCCCTTTTGTCGCCCTTTTGTTGCCCATCTTGATAAGTAGTCATATTTTATTGTATTGCATGTGTTAAATGTCTGTGGTGTTGTTGGCTTATTAAAAAAAGAAGATATAATACTTGTAATAATAAAGAGTATCAATTATTTGTTTCTTCTTTCCAGATCAGGTATACAGATACGCTCTTCACTGAACAAGAGGTAAAATCGTTACATTTCTATGCAGTGTTTGGTAATAAGGTGTTGGGCCTTAAGCCCAACACCTATTGTTATTGTATGAATTTACTATTCTTATTATTATTCTTCAAGTCAATTTCTTCTCCACAACTGTTTGTCAAAATGGAAACGTATGAACTTCAATTGTCAATACATGAATACACAACCCACTGAAGATGTACTTTTTGTAATTACGTCATTATGACATCATCATGGGTCACGTGACGTCACTTGAAAAATTTATCAATTTAATCTTTGAAATTCAATATAAAATCAACCGTGAGAGACCAGAACTTAAACTTTGCAGGAATCAATACGATAATACATGATCTTCATTTTATCTCCTGGGCGTCAAAACACGTGACCCTTCCTTCCGGTCGAAACTGGAAGTTCCTAATAATTTGAAAGTGGCAAAAGATGTGAACTTGATTTCAACGGTGTGAGTTTCTGGCTAGGTTGACCTTTCCAAAAAAAAATGATTGGCGACGTCATTAGATGTTCGAGTGCCCTCTAGTGGCAGGTTAAAAAATGTTGAAAATGCACATTAAGTTGATGTGTGTGGCGGAATTGACGGTAGTTGCTTCAGAATTAGTATATATGATGACCTAATACTGCAGACAAGACTCGGGTGCGAAAAAAAATGATGACGTCGTTGAACCGGAAGTTATGATGAAAAGACCTTTAAGGGGCTATTCAAAATTTTCAATGTTTTTAAATTCCGTTTTTTTCAAAATTGTGGGTGGGTGGGTCAAGCTAAATAGTTGAAAATCGAAATTCACTTTTCATTAAAAAAGGGCAAAATGAAAAAGCTAGATCTCTTGACTTGCCTGAACTACGTGCAATTAGCATTCTGATATCGCGATATGCGTGTTTCTTTTCCAACTTCGTCCCCTGTGTGTACTGTACATGTAAGTATGTATAAACTCACTGTGTGAAACACTGTGACAAAGGAAGGAGGTAGTTTTTCAGTAGACTTAGACGCCAGGCGTTTGTAGTGCTTAGGCCGTGCAGAGGCAGCTATATAACACATCGTGAGCGTTGATTACCAACCGCTAAAAAAACTGAATAACCACTTGACTCCAAGACTATGAGGACTGCAGCCTGTGCTCGCTAGGGCAGTCGTTTTCCTAATTCCGGATTTTCCTAGTTTCCTAGATAGCTTCAAATAAAAACCTACCTTTTGGATTAGTCTCAAAATTGTTCTTTTTTTCTGACGAAGTTATTTTGAAAAGGAAAATGTAAGCTTCTTCATAGACAAAGATCTTTTTGATACAATCCTTAGAAAGTGAATTTTGGCGAGATTTCTGACTCGCACGTTGACATATTTGGACTGTTTTTAGAAAATCACGGGAGCTGCAAATCGACAATAAATTTTCTTCTCGGTATGGTACAGCACTCGTACCGTGTGTTTTCGAATATTTTGTTCATACACTACAGTCGATTAACTCTTCCATCGAATGTTTGTTGAATCAAAATAAGTTGAAGAGTCTCTTTTTTTGAAAACTCACCAACGAATGACCGTATGTTTTTAACTAGTTCCAGATCGTGCGTGCACTTACGACCCAACTACGTTTTTCTCCAAGTTTTAAAATTTGCTGGCATTCTCTTGAATAAATTAGTTTTGGAAAATTAAACAATACTTTATCAGAAACGTTCTTAATTTGGGGTTTTCTGGCTGAAAAATTGATTTTCTTGCGCGATTGTTTTTTCTTCGCGCGAAGCCATTTTTGATCGATTCGGAACTGATTGAACTGATCCGGTGTCATATGAAAATCGGACTTGTATGAAAATTAGACTCTTTTTTTCCTTTTATTGGTTAAACCCTCTCCTAATTATCTACCACCAATGAGTCCGTATTTCATAAAACCTAAATTCATGCCACACCGGAACTAGGAAAAAGGGCCTGGGTACATTTGACTTCGTAAAGCCAAATTTTAAAGGAGCTTAAATTTGGAAAATTGTTATGTAATATCTCCATCACTCAAGGTAAACTTTTTAATGAATGTCACTTGAATTTGTGGAGTAGTTGAGCCGAAAGCAGCCTGAATGATGTTTGCTGTCTGGAACTATAGGAAAACGACTGTACTTTGGAATTCTTTCCGAAAAAAAACAAACACATAGGCCTAGGCCTAGTTTGGGTCATGTCTTTTTTCCTCCATGATTTAAATGAACTATAATTTTGTAATCATTCCAAAATTAATTTTAGAAGACGTTTTTGGAATTTTATAGAACATCTGTCAGGCATTTTTACCCCTCGAGCCTCTCTCTTGTCATCGCCTACAGCGTCCGTCTGTCCGTCCGTGCGGACGTACGTCCCTCTGGGCAGCATAGTTTCCGGATGATAACTTGAGTTAGAAATGTTGTTTGGGATTGTAACTTTGGTAGGGGGTTGCCCTTGGGAGTAGGCAAGTTGAGATTGGTTTTGAGGTCAAAAGGTCAAATGTCAAGGTCACCGTGATGAGTTAAAGGTAAATGGTTTCCGGATGATAATTTGAGTTAGAAACAAGATTTTGGCGTCTAACTTTGGTAGGGGATTACCCTTTGGAATAGGCAAGTTAGGATTGGTTTGGGGTCAAAAGGTCAGAGGTCAAGGTCACCGTGGTGAGTTAAATGTAAATAGTTTCTGGATGATAACTTGAGTTAGAAATCACATTTTGCTCTCTAACTTAGGTAGGGGGTTGCCCTTGGGAGTAGGCAAGTTGGGATTGGTTTTGGGGTCAAAAGGTCAAAGGTCAAAGTCACTGGTGAGTTAAATGTAAATGGTTTCTGGATGATAACTTGAGTTAGAAATCACATTTTGCTCTCTAACTTAGGTAGGGGGTTGCCCTTGGGAGTAGGCAAGTTGGGATTGGTTTGGGGGTCAAAAGGTCAAAGGTCAAGGTCACTGGTGAGTTAAATGTAAATGGTTTCTGGATGATAACTTGAGTTGGAAATGAGATTTTGGGGTCTATTTTAGGTAGGGGGTTGCCCTTGGGTACAGGCAAGTTGGGATTGGTTTTGGGGTCAAAAGGTCAAAGGTCAAGGTCACTGTGGCGAGTTAATGGTTTCTGCATGATAATTTCAGTTAGACATGATATTTGAGTTCGGAATGTCACTTTGCCCTTTTCGATAAACTTTGGCTGAGGGGTTTCAACAGCAACGCTGTTATTTTCCTCATGGTCGTGGATGTCTGGGGTGAATTGTACCACTTGTTTAAGTTTATTGTTTGCTGTCATTGACTGTAACTTTTTAAAGGGGCCCATTTTAGAAATAATTTCGAAATCTCAAACAGACTTTTATTGAGATGAATATTTGTGAAGAAATTTGACTCTCTCAGACTCAGGTTTGTGTTTATTTTTATTTTGTTTTTCTACGGAGAGGCCTAGGCTATTGTGAGTCACCTGACAGCACAACTTGCCCATCTCTCTCCTCTAGATCCTCTTTTGTGTGAGGTCTGCCCAAACCTAATGTTTTTCTCAGCTAGCTCACGTGACAGGCACAATCTCATATGTCACATCCACCTTAACCAGAAAATGACAAAACCATGACCATCTTTGTGGCTTCCAAGACCGCAACCTGCCTTTCCCAACATCTTATCAGCTGGCAAAACACCTAAAAAACTGCAGGTCACCAGTGCAAAAGAGGAAGACCGACAACTTCACGCCGTCACTGAATTGGACACACATGTACATGGGTATTCATGTACATGTTCAAGTATGTATGTACATGCAAGTGCCATGTACATGTACATGTTTTTGGATTTTTAATAAGGGAATAACAGTGTGAGGAGCCGGTCTTTACTGCGTGATAATGACCGGGTGTGGGGGTGACCGCTGTTAATTCGTCTCGGTCCATTATACAGCAGTCACCCCCATGTCATTATCACGCAGTGAAGACCGGATCCTCACACTATTATTCCCATAAATAAATACCGTTTTAACGAAATAAACAGTTGAAATGCTCCAATTTTGCGACTTCTCTTTGGCATGTTTGGGCGATATTTCCAGATGTTTTGTGTTCATGTTCATGGGCCATATTTTATTTTAGGTTATGCGTGGTACCCTGTCTCTTCAATATGCGTTGTTATATAGCCCCATAGCCGGGCCTAGGCTGCGTTTGATGACGTCTTCATCGTTGCATTAAAAACGACGTCCAGGCTATGAACTTCTGCTGCCGTAGCAAAACAAATTACAACATTTTTTTCATATTTTTACCTGATGGAGGAAGCTGAAATTTTGTTTACATATTCCTTGTGTCCAGAATTACAAATATGGTTTAGGAAAGGTAAATATGTCGGTGGGCGAAGTGTTTAAAAAAAATAAATCCCAGATCTACGCTTTCCTCGTAAACATCCTCAGTATACTGCTGTACGATGTCGTTTGAAAACTTCATTATGCGCGCACCCATAGCAACTGTGTTGCGTTTGCGCGCAAAAGTGGTAAGTCTCACGCGAAGGTGGTTGAGCGCATGTGCAGTGCTGTATTGTTACAAGCTGCCGTAGGACTGTTGTAAATTTGGCCAATCATTGTCTTGCATGGGGCTGGGTCAATGCTAGTTCAGGGGCCATTTTTTTCTCTTGTTCTTTGAAGCTGGTCTTTATATCACCGTTAATACACCCCCACGTGATCGAGTCTCGACCAATCAGAAGCCACCAACTCTCCAAGGTATATTAAAATACTGCATGAAAAATCAGTTTTTTATTAATCAAAATTCGGGGTGGGTGGGTTGGTTGGTCAAAATAATTTGGAAAAAAAGTCGAAATTTAAAAACAATAAAAATTTTGAATGGCCCCTAAACCTGAAAAAATTGCTAAAAAATCAACAGGGAGAGATATAATCAAGATTTGGCTATATATAGCACAGTTATCCTAGCTCTTGAGCTTTCTGGTAACGACGTCACAATGACATCATCAAGTATCATATGACAAGCAATAAAGATTTCTACATTTAATCTTTGAAAATCAATTAAAAATCTACTGTTAGAGATGTGATTTTTTTATGGCAATT